TTACAGTATCTAGTTCAATTTGGTTATTAGTGTATTTATAAAGATGTGAAACCATTACTGTTACCTAATTCCAGAACATTTTCTCACCGCAGAGAGCAGCCGTGTGCCACACCCTATTTGCCTCTCCCCACCTGCCCTGGCTGCCACCAGTCTTTCTCTGTCTCCGTGGATTTGTCTGCTCCGGACATTTCACACAAATACAGTCACACAACACACGGCCTTTTGTGTCCGACTGCTCTCGTTGAGCATGTGGTTTTCGGGGTTCATCCGTGTTGTAGCCCATTTCAGCATTTCCTCCTTTTCGAATGATGGATTTGACCCTAAAGTATTTTTCTCTTCCCATTTCCCACTATTCCTGTTTCAGATTCTACGGTCAAGCTGCACTAGACTGCCTTCCCTTTTCCAGACACCCTGCATTCATTGAATTTCCACGTCTTTGTTTCTGAATGGGTACAGCCCCTCCTCAGACCTCTGTCTGTCTTTCACAAACACGCCCTCCTCCAGAGGGGCCCTTGAGTGGTTTCACACCCCAAGGGGTGCCCTTTTCCCTCTCCCGGAGCCCTCCTTTATTCCCTGATGCTGCTGATTCTTTCTTTATATTTACTTGATTTTAATCCTCCTAGTAGGCTGTGATTGTCAGGAAGTCACTGTCGTTTTTTTAATCCTGAGCTGATTGCCTTGAACATAATAAGACCTTGGCAAACATTTGCTTGCACGGCATGGCCATAACCCAGTGGTTCTAAACCCAGGGTACTTTGGGCCCCCAGGAACACTTGGCAGTGTCTGTTTGTCCCATTTGGGGGAAGGCAGTGTGCCAGTGACATCCAGCAGGTGAGGCCAGGGTTGCGGCTGAGCTCCGTCCAGCACACATGACAGCCCCCACAGCTGGGAATTACCCGGCGCCCAGGGAGAGCAGCCTTCAGCTAGCTAACGCATGCTCCTTTTGACTGGGTTAGCAGCAGGAATCACAAGAGATCCACGCACCATTTTGGCAGAGAATTCGCTAGGAAATTCATGCCCCTTTCTTTCCTTTGTTTTCCTCTTTGTCTCTTTCTTTCGGAGCTGGGGGTGGCTCCAGTGCAGAGCTCTTTCCTAATGCCATCGAGGTGCCCTGGGAGCACAGATGGTATTTTCACCACTTGTTCGCCCCTGAGAGTGGCAAGTGACCTCCCAGGAATCCTTGAAGTGCTAGGAATGTAACTCTGGTCGAAAAGAAAACTCGGAGCTTTTTAAGTCTAGCAGAACATCCCACGTGCCCTGCGCGCCTGGGGGAGCTCAGGGGAGGGAGCTTTTAAAGCGCCCTCTCTCCAGGCTTCCCCACAGCGGGGAAACCTCAGAGCTGGTCTGGAATAAATGATTCAAGGGAACCTGAGGCCCTGTCGACTCTCCTTTCTGAGAAAGGAATCTGTTTGCAGCAGCTTCGGGGAGCCGAGTCGCGAGTTCTGCAGGAATCTCTTTGCCAGGAACTCAAGGCACTTGTATCACTTAACTGGGGAACGGCAGCCCCTTCGGAGCAGGAGAGGGGGAAACAGCTCAGGCTCACGTCTTACGTTCCTGCCCTGGTGACTGACACGGAAATTGCGGGACGGATGCCCTGAGCATGAAAGGCAGCCCCGGTCCGAAGGCGTTTGATGAGACAAGGAACAAGGGTTGACATGCTATTTTAAAAAGTTTGTCCTTGGGGTAGAATTACCTGACGGGCTGACCAGGATTTGGTAGTGGTGCAAAGAACAACCTTTAGCTCATCTGGCAGGGACAGAAATGCCAAGCCCAGATTCCAGGAGGCACCACCCCCTCTTCTGGGCACTCGCCAAGTCTTGTGCCATTAAAAAAAAAAAAGATAGCAAGGTGTGATTGTATTATTGGAATTGCTGTGACTTTTATCCAGTAAATACCATTTTGTTCATCTGCCACTCCCTATGCGAAGGGACTTACTCATTCCATTTTCATGAAAACCTTTGAGTACAGAAATACAAAGAATACTTGGCACGGTGTGAATTCCCAAAGTGTTTAATGATGACAGTAATTAGGATACTGGAATAATGTGCATTGAGTAGATGGTTGGCAGGACTTTAGATACATTAAGAAAGTAAAAAAAAAAAAAATCCTTTAAAGAACAAAATGGGAATCTCCAGAGTAACTACAGCCCTGTCAAAGTGACCTGGAAAAGGGCCAATGCCCCTTGGCGACAAGTATTTATGGTCCAAAAAATCTAAAAATGATTCCAAGCTGGATGACTTGCCTCAAACCTCAGTTTTATTTTGTTTGTGCAGCTCATTCGTTCAATCATTCCCTTGTTCAACAAACATTATTATTTATGGTTCCTATTCCATTATTCCCTCTCGTGTTTAACAGACATTTGCAAACTCCCTTACCCTGTGCCAGGCATTGCGTTAGATCCTAATAATACAATGGCAAATGGTCCTTACCCCTGGGATCCTTACCCTTAGTGAAATATCCATTAATTCAAGCAAGTATTTACTATGTGCCCAGATGTTACGGAAATGTAGTAACAGGAAACACAGAACTCCCAGGTAAATGAGATTACATCCTAATGAGGCAGCTGTGGGCATGGCTAGAGCCTAGTTAGCAAAAAGGACATGACACCAAATGGGGTGGAAGAGGTATTCAGGGGTTAGACTATATCCCACCCCCAATAACCTGAAGGTATGAATATATTCATACACACACGTACAAACATATTACATACATACATAGTACATGCATGTTTCAGGAGCTAATCTTCCCATTAGATTTAGCTGTTATTGGACCTAAATAACTTCAGAAGTAAGTTACTTGTTTTTTTTTAATTAATTTTTTCTTTTTTTTAAAGATTTATTTTATTTTTGTTTGAGAGCTAGAGTTACACAGAGAGAAAGAGAGGCAGAGAGAGAGAGAGAGAGAGAGAGAGAGGTCTTCCATCCACTGGTTCACTTCCCAATTGGCAGCAACAGCCGGAGCCGTGCCAATCCAAAGCCAGGAGCCAGGAGCTTCTTCTGAGTCACCCATGCAGGTACAGGGGCCCAAGGATTTGGGCCATCCTCTACTGCTTTCCCAGGCCATCGCAGAAAGCTGGAGTGGAAGTGGAGCAGCCAGGTCTCAAACCGGCGCCCATATGGGATTCTGGCACTGCAGGTGGCGGTTTTACCCATTACACCACAGCGCCGGCCAGAGAAGCAAGTTACTTGTAATAACAGTCAATATATGGGCAAGACTACATGCTATCTTTGCTAGGGCTGGGCTGAGAGCTTAAACAAACAAACAAACAAACAAACAACGAGGTATCTTGCCAAGAGCTTCCCCCTTGATGAGAAGAGACAGCAGCTGTGGCAGGAAAGAGACAGGGGCCTTAGCCTCACAAGGCTTCACCTTCTAAATCCTTCCTGGGCCTCCTCACCAGAGGCCAGGAGAAGACCTGTTTAGCCAGGTGGACTACCAAGGAAAATAAGACTTAGGGCCAGAAAGTCGGCGGTGGAGAATTGCCCCTCCCAAGTTGGCAGAACTGGCTGCAAAGTGTGAAACACGTGTGACAAGGCCACAGTGGCCATTCCTCTATCTCCATCAGCCACCCCTCACGTAGTCCTAAAGGACTATGAAAAAAGTACCTTCTTTTCAAAATTAGTGCCACCTTAAATCCTTCCAGTACATGAATTGTGTAAATGTCACTAGATTTGTGTACCTCTATTTCTCGATATGTATGCTACAGGGTAATATGTGAGCCTGATCCTGGTTTTTTTTTTCTTTCAGATTTTTGTTTAAAGGGGTGGTGGCATTATCTTTTAAAATAACCTTTTAGCCGGCGCCGTGGCTCAATAGGCTAATCCTCCACCTTGCGGCGCCGGCACACCGGGTTCTAGTCCCGGTTGGGGCGTCTGATTCTGTCCCGGTTGCCCCTCTTCCAGGCCAGCTCTCTGCTATGGCCAGGGAGTGCAGTGGAGGATGGCCCAGGTGCTTGGGCCCTGCACCCCAGGGGAGACCAGGAAAAGCACCTGGCTCCTGGCTCCTGCCAGGATCAGCGCGGTGCGCCGGCTGCAGCGGCGGCCATTGGAGGGTGAACCAGCGGCAAAGGAAGACCTTTCTCTCTCTGTCTCTCTCTCTCACTGTCCACTCTGCCTGTCAAAAAAAAAAAAAAATAACCTTTTGAAAATACAGTTAAAACATGGTAGGAAGCCCCCAAGCAATCTCTGTGCAATTCTTAATAATTTAACCTAATAGTCTCTCATCTGGGGAATCCCCCGAGGTCCTAGCTCCTAGGCAGCCAAGTCAGAAGCGACTACAACCTTTGGGACTACAACTCCCAGTAGACACCGCACCAACACCCTCGGCGCATGCTCAATCACGGTGACTGCATAGGGCAGCAATCCCGAGGGGGCGGGGCTGGAGCTCGGCCCGCGAATCGTGGGCGGGGCTACAGGCGGGGCTAGAAAGGGGGCGGCGCTGCCGGGGCGGCCCGGAACACGCTAGTGGAGCGGAAGATGGCGGCGGCAGCAGCGGCTGCAGCCGGGACCCCAGTCGGGCTGAGGCGGAGGAGCCGCCGGCTCTGACCTCGCTCTGGCTCCGGTGCGTGCGGCTGAGCGTGTGCGAGGCCCCGCGCGTCGGGCAGGGGCTGCGGCTGCCACTGCGCGCCGCCCTGAGGAGCGCCCCGGAGGCGGCGCGGCTGCGGCTGAGGAGAGAGCCGGCTCCGGGCCTCCGCGTCCTCCTGCTCCCCCGGGCCCCCGCCTCCTCGGGGGGGCGGCGGCGGCGATGTTCTCGGTCCTCTCGTACGGGCGGCTGGTGGCCCGCGCCGTGCTCGGCGGCCTCTCGCAGACCGACCCCCGAGCCGGCGGCGGCGGCGGCGGCGGCGGCGACTACGGGCTGGTGACGGCGGGCTGCGGCTTCGGCAAGGACTTCCGTAAGGGCCTCCTCAAGAAGGGCGCGTGCTACGGGGACGACGCGTGCTTCGTGGCCCGGCACCGCTCGGCCGACGTGCTCGGTGAGTTCCCGGCCCGGGTCCCCCGCCTCAGCCCCGGGTCCGCCTCCCGGGGACTCCCCTGCGCGGGGCTTCCCCGATTCCTCCGGGCGGCGACGGGAGCCGGGGAGCTCGCTTGGAGGGAGCGCTTACGAGGCGCCAGGCGCAGTGCCAAGCGCTCCGAGGCGGGTTTTCCACTTGAACAACCCCCCATTCTCGAGAGGAGGAAACTGAGGTGCAGCGCGGTCGAGAGCCATGTGCTCAAGGTCACAGCCTGAGAATGTGACCGGGCTGTCCCGGTCGGAGCCGCGCCCCGGGCGACCTCGTCCCCTCCCTCGACGACGACACCTGCAGGCTCTTAACCTCGCTCCGGTTCCCTCCCTCCTCCCTCTGCGTGCCCCGGGGATCCCTGCTTCCTCGCGTGCTCCTGGCTGCGGGATTCCGAGCAGACGGGCGTGAGCCTCGCCGCCGCGGTCGGTCGTGACCCGATCTCCACGACTCGCGCGGCGAGGACTGCTGCTGGCCTGGTGACAGCAGCTCTCGCACTGCGTTCTCCCAAACTGATCTTACGCACTTGAGGTCGCTTGGGGTGGCAGAAAGTGTCCTTGACCCAAAATAGAATGGCCGTCGGACCTGCTTGTAGACTGCTGCGGGAAAGCTTTGAGAACTGGGCGAAGCCTGCCAGGCCACAGGTGCTTCCTGAGGTGCTTCGGGAGGCCTGTTGGGCTGGGAGGCTAGGCAGAGGGCTTGCACAAAGAGCTGAGCGTCATTTACAGGCGATCGAAACTTTATCATATGTGTGTATTTTGGAGGCAATCGTAGGCTGCTAAAACTATTTTCGGAAGTGAAGTCCTTCCTTTGAAATCGAAGGGCATGCTGTCATTGAACTGAGATTTAAATGTCACTTTGGTTTCATTTCTCAGGTGAGATTGAGGTGGGTTCCTTTAAGTTTCCTATGCTGGGGCAAAGTTTGGCATGGGAACAAATAATTCTGTGAGTTTTTTTATGACTAATTATTTTTCAATCTGATCTTCGAATAACTGCCTAGTAGCTTTGATTCTAGGACACGCAGTGTTTGCGGACGTGGGACTAGAAAAGTTCTCGTTTTAATTTATCAATGACCCCATTACCTGTATTGAAAAAAAATCATTTTGCGTTCAGGCAACATTGTTGCCGTTAACTTTTGAGAAAGAGAGGGGGAGAACTTAGAAGGTCGGGGTGGTGCAAATTGAAACTGTACAAAAAATAAGTTTGATGCCTTTTTTTAAGGGTTGTCAGTAGCTGTCTTTTTCTGTTACATTTAGAAGAGGTTCATTCAGTGAGCTTGGGGGTGCTGTTTTTAAGTTGCAGTCATAGTGCAGTAGGATAGGGGATAATGGGCCCCTAAGATTCACCTTCTAAATATGCTTATAATGTCGGTCGTTGTGAAAGATCTGTGATTTGATCAATGATTTTGATCCCTATGTTAAAACTTGATTTTTAAAGCTTTAAGAAAGCTGCCTTCGTAGTGGAGTTGGGTATTTACAAGGATATGGGAAATTTTGGTCCTATTCATTCTAAAAACAGCATAAGCATAATTTCTTGCTCCGATGTGGTGGCAGAAACCCAGCCTTCTTTGAGGTTCAGCTTTGCCACTTAGTAGCTGTGGTTCGTGGTCCTCGCCAGAGCCTGTCTTGAGTCTAATTTTCTTTACCCAGACTGGAGGATGGAGGGGGTGGGCCTGACCCTTCAGGACTGTAGCTTCTGACCATCACATCCTATTTTCCTTTTGTTTTGAAAAGATGCACCCTTTGTTATTTTGCATCTCAAATAACAGGCATTACTTTCTTTCTCATTAACAGTTAGCTTCTGTAGATTTCTTCTGTTATTTGGCACTAAAGCAGCAGTTCTTTTTTTTTTTTTTTTTTTAAGATTCATTTATTTATCTGAAAGGCAGAGAGAGAGAGGTCTTCCATCTGCTGGTTTACTTCCCAGATGGTCACAATGGCTGGAGCGGCTGGAGTTGCGCTGATCCGAAGCCAGGAGCTTCTTCCAGACCTCCACATGGGTGCAGGGGCCCAAGGACCTGGTCACCTGCTGCTCTCCCAGGCCACAGCAGAGAGCTGGATCGGGAGTGGAGCAGCCGGGATTGGAACCTTTGCCCATATGGGATGCCGGCACTGCAGGCGGCAGCTTTACCCTCTATGCCACGAGTGCTGGTCTCCAACAGTTCTTTTTTTATTTATTTTTTTTATTTTTGACAGGTAGAGTTAGTGAGAGAGAGACAGAGAGAAAGGTCTTCCTTCCGTTGGTTCACTCCGGCGCTGCGCTGATCTGAAGCCAGGAGCCAGGTGCTTCCTTCTGGTCTCCCATGTGGGTGCAGGGCCCAAGCACTTGGGCCATCCTCCACTGCCCTCCCGGGCCACAGCAGAGAGCTGGACTGGAAGAGGAGCTACCGGGACTAGAACCCAGCACCCATATGGGTTGCCGGTGCCACAGGCAGAGGATTAACCAAGTGAGCCACGTCGCCGGCCCCCCTCCCAATGGTTCTTAACTTACCTTGGTTCACAGCTTCTGAGGATGTTTGTCCAAAGGCTCTCTCCCCAGAAAAATGCACAGACATAAAAGAGTGCCTAGGCTTTCAAGGATCTCACTGACCCCACACTGTTCCTCTGTGTGCCTGCTGCAGACTTAAACCCAGCTCTGGGGCAGGGGTGTGGCACAGCAGTTAAGACACCACTTGGGTGCCCATATCCCACATTGGAGTGCTTGAGTTTGAGTCCTGGCTCCATTTTCTGATTCTGTAATGTGCACCATGAGAGGCAGCAGATAACAGCTCAAGTAACTGGATTCCTGCCAGCCACATAGGAGACATGGATTGAGTTCCAGGCTCCTGGTTTCTGCCTAACCCAGCCTCAGCTCTTGTGGGCATTTGAGGAGTGAACCAGCAGCTGGGAGATCTCTGTGTTACTTCGCTGCCTCCCTGACTTAAAAAAAAAAAAAAATCCCCAGATCTGTACCCTTCCTGAAAAGAATGCCATGAGGCACAGCAGTCAGATGGCTGCTTATGTGACCATGGGGGTAGTCATCAGCCACATTTGACAAAGGTCACACACATAGGTGTAAATGGGGGAGTGGGCACAGGAAGACACAAGTTCTCCAGGACTGTCCTGTTGTGGCGGACGCTCTTCTGGAAAGCTGTCTGGGAGACACCTGAAACAACTTCGCAGGTTAGTCTCATTTCATCCTTGGCTGCCATGGGTCGGTTCATACTATGGTCACTTGTTTTTTTTTGTTTTGTTTTGTTTTGTTTTTTTTGACAGGCAGAGTGGACAGTGAGAGAGACAGAAATGTGGGGAGCAAACCGGACTAGACTGAGTTACTGGAATTAAGACTTATTCTATGGATCTGCTCTCCCACAATATGGCGCTGGGAGAGAAGTAAACAGCTTCTACACAGCTGCCTCCAGTTCAACCAATAAACTGTAGGACTTGCTACTGATTGGAGGAGAGCAGCGTACTCGGCGTGTGGGCAGCCGAGTTGGGATTGGCGGAGGAGGACTATAAAGGAGGAGAGAGACGGCATGCACCAGGAACATCTAAGGGAAACATCTAAGGGAACACCTGTGCAGCCCCCGAGAAAGCCGGCCGGCGGTGTGCCGCTCCCCTGCGGAAGTGGGGAATGTGGCCAGGGGGAACTGCCCTTCCACGGAGGTGGAAGGGATAGTAGCCAACCCGGGAAGAACCAGCAGCAAACCCGGGGAGGGCCGAGCAGACGAAAGAACAGCGCAGGGTCCTGTGTCGTTCCTCCACGAAGAGGGGGAGCGACACAGAAAGGTCTTGCTTTTGCCATTGGTTCACCCTCCAATGGCCGCCACAGCCAGTGCACCGCGCCGATCCAATGGCAGGAGCCAGGTGCTTCTCCTGGTCTCCCATGGGGTACAGGGCCCAAGGACTTGGGCCATCCTCCACTGCACTCCCTGGCCACAGCAAAGAGCTGGCCTGGAAGAGGGGCAACCGGGACAGAATGCGTCGCCCTGACCGGTACTAGAACCCGGTGTGCCGGCGCTGCAAGGCGGAGGATTAGCCTAAGTGACTTGTCTTATTGTCACCGTCTCATCACAGGCTGCTCTGATTAATCTGCTATAATAGAGGTGATAAGTCTGAGTTTTTTTTCCTTTTTATTAAAATTTATTTGTTTATTTGAAGGCAGGGTTACAGAGAGAGAGAGAGAACGTCTTCCATTCACTGGTTCACTCTCCAAATGGCTGCAAAGGCTGGAGCTAGGCCTATCCCAAACCAGGAGCCAGGAGCTTCCTCCAGGTCTCCCACGCGGATGCAGGGGCCCAAGGGCTTGGGCCAGCTTCCACTGCTTTCCCAGGCCATCGCAGAGAGCTGGATGGAAAGTGGAGCAGCTGGGACTAGAACCGGCGCCCATATGAGATGCCGTCATTGCTGGTGGTGGCTTTACGCGCTGTGCCACAGCACTAGCCCCATGAGTGAGTCTTTAACATTGCTTTCTACTTTAGAAGTTGGAGTTGCAAATTGAATTGCATTAAATATGTTGAATAGTTATGTTGAGCTTCAATGCTTCAGAACCTTGTAGTTCTGTAGATAATTCATTGTCTTTATGTTGCCACCACATTTATGGCTAAGATTATTCACTATGGTCATCTAGGACTCCTTGACTCTTTGGATTTAGAGCTGTTTATTTCTTTTTGTATGAGAAAGAAAACAGTTTTGTTTCTTTAATTTAGAATTGATCTGCCCTATTAGTCATGCAGTGACTAAAAGTACTTGGTGCTTCACAAATATTTTGTAGTCCCCACTGGATTTCTTTTAGGAAAAACTAACTATGGTGGGTGTGGTGAGACATAGGAACCACTCCTATCCCCTGGAAAATTGGCAAAGGTGCTTTCTCTTTATTAGGTCCAACAGGAGTAAACCCGTACCAGCAGGAGCTGTGTACACTTTTCTTGTTCCTTCTTCCTTGTAGTTAATCCTGAGTTCTCTTATTACTCTATAAGGCATGGCTTCCTAGGTACACAGACATATGAGAGCTGCTTGGTATAATTGCTTTCTCAGAGCTCTCTGCTACTTAACAGCAGAATCAAAGACCATTGAGGATTCTAAGAACTGTGGAGTCCGGGTCTGTGATCTTATGATGAGAAAACAGAGGCCTTAGAGAGGGTCAGATGACTTCCCCAAGGTCACTCCACTGGTGTTTCTCAGAAATGGGCTTACTCCCAGATTCCCCATCCCAGTGCTCTGTGATACACCACTGGTCAGGTTTTCTTGATGAGATATGTGAATTTGAAACCACTCAGTGTCCTGGTGCTATTTGTCCTTCTAATGCTTTTCCCACTCAGAGGGGTGTGTGTGTGTGTGTGTGTGTAACTTTTTCACTGTGACTCATAACTAAAATGCAACAAAAACTCCTCTGCTAAACCACAGTGTTTATAAAAACCACTTATTTAAAAAATGGCAGCATGAGCCGGCGCCGTGGCTCAATAGGCTAATTCTCCACCTTGCGGCGCCGGCACACCGGGTTCTAGTCCCGGTTGGGGCGCCGGATTCTGTCCCGGTTGCCCCTCTTCCAGGCCAGCTCTCTGCTATGGCCAGGGAGTGCAGTGGAGGATGGCCCAAGTGCTTGGGCCCTGCACCCCATGGGAGACCAGGAGAAGCACCTGGCTCCTGGCTCCTGCCAGGATCAGCGCGGTGCGCCGGCTGCAGCGGCGGCCATTGGAGGGTGAACCAGCGGCAAAAGGAAGACCTTTCTCTCTCTGTCTCTCTCTCACTGTCCACTCTGCCTGTCAAAAATAAAAAAAAAAAAAAAAAAAAAAAAAAATGGCAGCATGGTCTATGCCATGTAAATTCTGACCTCTGAATATTGAATTGTAAAGCAACTCTTATAAAACTGCGGGTTGTTTACTTAAGGTTGGTTTAACTTGAAACCTAAACATGAAATTAAAATAATTTCATTTTCCAGTCTCTGGATCTGATTGTGACCAGATTTTTGAATTGTTTATGTGAGGACTGCCCGTCTTTTTTTTTTTTCTTTAAAGATTTATTTATTTATTTGAAAGTCAGAGCTACACAGAGAAAAAAGGAGAGGCAGAGAGAGAGAGAGAGAGAGAGGTTTTCCATCCACTGGTTCACTCCCCAATTGGCTGCAACGGCCGGAGCTGCGCTGATCCAAAGCCAGGAGCCAGGATCCTCCTCCGGGTCTCTCACGTGGGTGCAGAGGCCCAAGAACTTGGGCTATCTTGTGTTGCTTTCCCAGGCCATAGCAGAGAGTTGGATCAGAAGTGGAGCAGCCGGGTCTTGAACTGGCGCCCATATGGGATGTTGGCACTGCAGGCAGGTGGCAGCCTAACCCGCTACATCACAGCACTGGCCCTGAGGAGTGCTCATCTTAAAAGTAGTTGTCAGGATCAGTGCTGTGGTGTTAACGGGTTAAGCCGCTGTTGGCAATGCCACCAGCATCCCGTGTGGGCACTGGTTTGAATCCTGGCTGTTCCGCTTCTGATCCAGCTCCTTGCTAATGTGCCTGGGAAAGCAGTGAAAGGTGGCCCAAGTCCTTAGGCCTCTGCAGCCACTTGGGAAGCCCAGATAAAGATTCTGGCTTTGGCCTGGCCCAGCCCCGGCTGTTGTGGCCTTTTGGGGAGTGACCCAGCAGGTGGAAGATCTCTCTGTGGCTCCTTCTCTCTCCCTTTCAAATAAATAACATAAATATTTTTTTTAAAAAAGTAGTTGCCTATGGTATATAGATGAAGTGGACAATATAAAGATGTAAATTTAGTTAGGAAATGAATGGATTGGATAGAATTGGTATTTTCAGATCTTTGTGATAATTTTAATATACCTGGTAGAGGCTCTGTATCTGAAAGTGAATTGTCTTTGTTAGAAAGTAAGTCACCTTATGGCCAGCACCACGGCTCAATAGGCTAATCCTCCACCTGCGGCGCTGGCACACCGGGTTCTAGTCCCAATCGCGGCACCAGATTCTGTCCCGGTTGCTCCTCTTCCAGTCCAGCTCTCTGCTGTGGCCCGGGAGTGCAGTGGAGGATGGCCCAGGTCCTTGGGCCCTGCACCCTCATGGAAGACCAGGAGAAGCACCTGGCTCCTGGCTTCAGATCAGCATGGTGCGCCGGCTGCACTGTGCCGGCCGTAGCGGCCACTGGGGGTAAACCAATGGAAAAGGAAGACCTTTCTCTCTCTCACTGTCCACTCTGCCTGTCCAAAAAATAAAAAATAAAAAAAAGACTCCAGCCTCAGAATCAGCCCTTGAGGCATTTGGATCTGGCTAAAAGGCCTATGAGAGTTTTGCAGGCATGGAAAGCCAAGACACTGCCGCAAAAATAAATAAATAAATAAATAAGAAAGAAAATAAGTAAGTCACTTTGGGGGAGTGTATGTGAGAGCTAATTTCAGCCTTTCAAGAAGTCCTCTTGGGGCCGGGACTGTGGAGTAGCAGGTTAACGCCTTGGCCTGAAGCGCCAGCATCCCTTATGGGCGCCGGTTCTAGTCCCAGCTGCTCCACTTCTGATCCAGCTCTCTGCTATGGCCTGGAATAGTAGTAGAAAGATGGCCCAAGTCCTTGCGTCCTTGCATCCAGAGAAAGCTCCTGGCTCCTGGCTTCGGATCGGCGCGGCTCCGGCCGTTGCGGTCAATTGGGGAGTGAACCAGCATGTGGAAGACCTCTCTCTCTCTCTCTCTCTCTCTCTCTCTGCCTGTCTTCTCTCTGTGTAACTCTGACTTTCAAATAAATAAATAAATCTTTTTAAAAAAAGAAAAAGAAGTCCTCTTAGGGATTTCCCTCAGCTAGATTTCAAGTAGTATCAGGAAGCCAGTTTCATTATTATGTAGTCATAATATTCTTAAAGTCAAATTCCAGCTGATGTACCTGTTGATAGCAATTGTGACCTTGAGTGAACTTTTTAATTAATTTACATTTTAAAAGATTTTATTTATTTATTTGAATGGCAGTGATAGAGAATTTTCCATCTGCTGTTTCACTCCCCAAATGGCTCAATAGCCTGGGCTCTGCCAGACCAAAGCCAAGAGCCAGGAGCTTCTTCCAGATCTCCCTCTTGCATGCAGGGGCCCAAGGACTTGAGCCATCTTCCACTGCTTTCCCAGGCCACAGCAGAGAGCTGGATCAGAAGTGGAGCAGCTGGGACTTGAACCAGTGCCCATATGGGATACTGGCATTGCAGGTGGAGGCTTGATCTTCTATACCACAGTGCTGGCCCCTTTGAGTGAATTTTTTAAAATCAAGATGTATAATTCACATGCAATAGCATTCACTTTTTAAAAAAAGACTTATTTATTTATTTAGAAGACAATACTACAGAGAGTTAAGGAGAGAGAGAAAATTACAGAGATCTTCTGTCTTCTGGTTCACCCCTCAAATGGTCACAGTGGCCGTGTCTGGGCCAGGCCTGAACCAGGAACCAGGAACAATCCGGGGCCCCAGTGGGGGTTGGAAGGGGCACAAACGTGGGCATTTATAGATGCCCTTCTAAGTGCAACATCAGGTCGCTGCCTTGGGTGAGGAGCAACTGGGACTCAAACCAGTGCTCGTTTAGGAATGGGGCATCGCAAGTGGCTGCTGAGCCACTGCACAGCTGTGGCCTCTGCCACGGCTGCTGTCACTCTTGCTGTTGATGAGGTTCACTTACTCGTGATTTTTACAAATTGAAATATTTGAGTACAGAATAGTTATGTGTTTGCCTCTTTTGCTGAACTTGTTTTGAATTGCCTGTTGGTAGAATCATTGTGCTTACTTTTAGTGGTAAATTGTACACCCGAGGAATGAAGCTGTGGAATCATAAGTAGACTTTACACTTAGTTTTGGTAAGTATCCCAGTTTTTCAAAAATGCTGATTCTACCCAAAATCCCACAAGTGCATGAAAGTTTTACTACTTCCATGAATGTGGCCATCACTTTCCAATTTTAGCCATTTAGCAGTGAACATGGTGGTATTATTCTTGGTTTACATCTGCATCTACCCGACATGTAATGATTTCCTGTGCTTCTCGGCTACGAAGATCTCTTCTTTGATGAGGGTACCTGCTGAAACATTCCCCCATTTCTCACCTTTTTTTAAATTGAAGGGTTGCCTTCTGGTTCCTTATCCTTTATTGGTATATTTGCATCTTTATATCTAGATACATGTACATAATAAAATACAAGCCATGGGGCCGGACATTCACTTTAAGAAAAGAAAAAGATTCATTTATTTGAAAGCAGATTTACAGAGAGAGAGAGCTTCCATCCACTGGTTCACTCCCCAAATGGTCACAACAACCAGGGCTGGGCCAGGCTGAAGCCTGGAGCCAGGAACTTCATCTGGGTCTCCCATGTGGGTACAGGAGTCCAAATACTTGGGCCATCTTCCACTGCTTCCCAGATGCACTAGCAGAGAGCTGGATCATAAGTGGAGCAGCCAGAACTCAAACTGGCAAACATGTGGAATGCTTTACCCACTACACC